CGCTCTCAACGGAACGACCATCTCTGAATGCAACAGCTATGTGTACGTAGGTCGAGAAGTCAACATGACAAATGACCTGGCACCCGAGCTGCGCAGGAGGAAGAGAGCGGCTTGGAACGCCTTCAAGAACGTTGAAGAAATAGCTAAGAGGACGAAGAACCTCCGGCTCCGGGCACATCTCTTTGATTCCACTGTTCTTCCTGCATTAACATATGCCTCAGAGACCTGGGCCCTACGCAAACAGGATGAGAACGCTATTCAGGTCTCCCAAAGAAGAATTGAAAGAGCTATGCTTGGAATATCACGTTTCACTCAAATGAGAGAAAGAATCCGGAGTTCCGACATCCATCGACGATCAAGAATCAGGGACGCTGTCTCATTTGTCAAGGTGTCAAAAATCAGATGGGCTGGTCACGTAATGAAATTTAAAGACGACCGCTGGACTAGAGCTGTTACCGACTGGATTCCACGGGATGTCAAAAGACCGCGTGGCCGCCCACCTACCAGATGGTCAGACTTCTTCATCAAGATCATGAACGATCGGTTTGAGGCTCTTCATGTTCCCAGAGCGAACAGATGCCATTGGGCTACACTAGCACGCGACAGGGACAAATGGAGACGTTACTGGCGCCCGCTCGAGCAAATCAACGACTAACGGGAACATAAGTGATTAAGTGATTAAGTTATTTTTTCAGGTGGGGCACACCCAGCAATGCTCAGGGGTTACTCCTGACTCTGTGCTGAGGGATTGATCCTGGCAGTAATTGGGGACCATGTGGAATGCTGGGGATCAAACCCAGGTTGAACACCTAGTAAGGCAAGCATTCTGCCCATCGTCTATCTCTATCTCTATCTATCTCTCTTTAGCCCCTATTCTTTGGACAGATACATAGAAGTAGAATTGTAAGACCGAATAAACAAACACTGTCCTCCCGTTATTCATAGATTTGCTCGAGCAGGCCCAGTAACGTCTCCATTGTGAGACTTGTCGTTACTGTGTTTGGCACATCGAATACGTCATGGGTAACTTGCCAGGCTTTGCCGTGTGGGTGAGATACTCTTGATAGCTTGCAGGGCTCTCCGAGAGGGGTGGAGGAATCGAACCCGGCTCGGCTGGGCTGAATAATTACCCCAAATTTAATCATTTGAAGAACTCCCACATTGCTTTCTATAGAGACTGCACCTGTTCATTCTCACCAGCAATGGGTTCCTTTTTCTCTAGGCAAAGAGAAGGCCTGGCTTTGATGAAAATCTTAATGGTAATCCACACTTCAGCAATGATGTTCTTCCATTGACTGAGTAGCTAGAAAGGAAGAAATCTTTCTCGGTAGCTTCCATTTCTCTGCCTGTTCTGTGTGTATCATGAATGGTTCTTCTGGCTGGGATACCTAATGGATAATTTTTCCCATCAGGTCTGCAACAGACATCGGTGAAGTGGAAATGTGTGAGCACTCCTCCTCCTGGCTTCCAGGGTATATTTAAAATGTGGTTTCCTTGATTCAGTTTCACATTTCTCTGAATAGCAAGAAACTAAATAGAGTCACTAGACGGAAGCACTGGGGCGTAAACCAAACTCCTAACCACTGAGCTACGTCTTCTCAGAAGAATGGTTTTTGCGTGAGTCATAACCCCCAGGAGAACTCAGCCTTTGCAGCTTCCTATGTCCACAAGACCAGTGAAGTAGCCCCATATCAAACACTACAGGTTGCTCCGTTATCCCATACCTTATCAATGAGAGAACTGAGCCCCAGGGTGGGGGACGAGCTGTAACACCTGTTTGCTTCCTCTGCCTCCATTTCCCCGCCACTACACACACACACACACACACACACACACACACGCACACGCACACGCACGCATGCACACATACACCCTCTAAAGGTCTTGCGATCATCTCCAACTCAGAAATGGAATTGGCCAATCACAGCTTTGTGTCTCCTTCTCCTCCACCATCAGTTCAAAGAACAGCATGTAACCAGGAACAGAAAGTCAGGATTTCTTCAAGATTTCTCACTCTTTGCCAGGAGCGAGAAAATACAGCAGCCAAATGAAGAGGATGGGAAAGAAGGAGTCATTTTGTGTTGATTTACCTAGGAATGGAGACACTTCTGGTTGTTAGGATTTGGAGGAGTAGAGAAGAGAGCAAAGAATCTATAGCCATCTTGTTACCATGAAAAGGGGAGGGAACTGGAATATACAACCTGTCTGAGGTTAGAACCTCCTAGTGGATGCAGAGGCAAAGATGGAGAGAAACTGAATCCTGTGACCATTCTCAGAGCTGTGGATCCTACTATGCTTGAAGTATAGCATTTTGCTCTGGACTTTTTCTATTTTGTGGCTAAATCAGTAACACTTTGCCATCTGCTTATTAGATGATGATTTCTGTCACTTTCACAGTGACAGCCTGCACAGTGTTAGTGAAATAGACTGGGCCCATATCCCTCTCCATTTTATCTATGGGTGATCCCAAGCCAGAGTGTTCTGTACCTTCCCAAGGTCACACAACTAACTGGCATGACCCATGCTGGCATTTACTCAATGACCTCATGAAAAGGGCAACACTTATTTTTAATATTAAAAACAAACAGTATTACATGGAACATAGTGACAAATTCACATAAACTTTTCAGATAGAACGGGAGACTTCAGACATTGTTGGAACAGGAGAGATAATAGTGGGTACGGTTCTTGTTTTCCACACAAGCAACCTAGATTCGATCCCTAGAACCACGTGTGGTCCATTCATTAAACCCCACCAGAAGTGATCCCTGAGAACTCAAGAGCCAAAAACCAACACCCCCCCAAAAAAAATACCCAAACTGGGACTAGGAGTTAGGGGTAGATCCAGGACTGGAACCCAGATGTTCCTGACATTCAGTTTCCTGTTATTCTGCACCCCAAATTTGCTTACCTTCTTGTTGTGTTTAAGAAAATGCAAAATTTTTCCATACCCATTTAATGACCCTGAACAGCAGTCCACAACCCAACTCCAGATCATTTTGTTGGAAACTCAGATCCTAAAGATAAATGACTTGTCCAAAATGTCAGTACAAGCTTACTCCATTGAATGAATAGGGTCTTGAACCCAGGTTCTAAAAAGGCAGAGTTCACTTTCTCCTTCACCTTTCTGACTTGGGCAAAAGACAGAGTCAGGGCCCCAGAGCAAGGTTTCATCCCTGGAACTGGCCTCCCTGACACCATACTCTGGCCACGAGCAAGAAAAGTGAAGGTCAAGAAAGAGCAAGAAAGTTCATCAGGGCCAGCATGATAGTACAGCAGGGAGGGTGTTTGCCTTGCACATTGCCGACCGGATTCAATTCCTGAAGACAGAGCCAGGATTAAGACCTGAGCATCACCGAGAGTGGCCCCAAAACAAAAACAAAACAAAAAAAGAAAGAAGGAAGGAAGGAAGGAAAGAAAGAAAGAAAGAAAGAAAGAAAGAAAGAAAGAAAGAAAGAAAGTGAATCAAAAGTCTTCTTTCTCTCCACCCTTTCCCACCAAAAACAAGTTTATTTCAGCATTTTCCAATATTTTTACACCTTGAGATAGCACCAGCCAATTGATTGGTAGTTGAAGACCACTGTTCTATTCACTGCTGGGAGGAGACCCAGAATACCATTTCCAGAGCTGTCAGTACCTGGAGCTTTGAAATCTAACCAACCTGTATTAGGATTGCCATTCTACCACTTAGAAGCTGCATGATTTGAGCAAATCACTTTACTTCTCAGCTTTCTTGTATGATAGGAAACCCTCCACTCAAATTTTGTAAGGCTTCAATTAGATGCGACAGCCTCTGACACACATATGAAGTTTGATGAGTGTCAGTACTCTTCCTACAAAGATTTTCTGCTTTGACCCTGTTTGAAAGACAAAGCTATTGAGGAAGTACAAACTACTGTTGTATGAGAGAAGATACGAAATATTGTCTGGCCAGAAAGATAGCACAGTGGGCAGGGCACTTGCCTTACACACAACCAACCTGATTTCTATCTCTGGAACTTCATATGGTTCCCCAAGTCCTGTTAGGAGTAGGCCCTGAGCACTTTCAGGTATGGCTCCAATAAATACCCCCTTCCCCGCCACACACACACACCTTATATACAAAATACATTCGGATCTGTTCTGCCAGTATTTTCTCTTTTACCCCATTGCTGGAACTGCCAGCCCCGAGCTGAGCATCTCTGTCTTGTGCTTCTGGGTAACTATGATTCCTGTGTATTTTAAATCCTTGCCACAGGGGCTGGAGAGATAGTATAGAGATAGTATAGTGGGCACGGTGCTTGCCTTGATGCAGTTGATCAGCATTGGGTCTCCAGCACCCCATATGGTCTCCCAAACTCCACCAGCAATAATTCCTGAGTGAAGAGCCAAGAATATACCCTGAGCATTGCTAGGTGTGACCCCAAAACCAAATACATAAATTCTTACCACAATGTTACAGAACTGACTGGCAGAAAATTTCTTCTCATTTCATTGAACTGGAATAATTTCTCACCCAGGTCATTGACATTGGGGCAGGCAGGATAATTCCTTGTGATCCATAATCGTGTGCTTTGTAGGGTGTGTAATAGCATCTAGTATGTCTCCACTAAATGCCTAGAGTACTAGACCTCACTCATAACACTGAAAGTGACTTCAGGCATTACCCCAGTTTTCCTCTGGTGGGCAACAAAAGTACCCCTAGTTGTACCTGAAGTTCTCTGACCCAAGGATCCCCCTAACACAAACACCAAAGGACAGGTGTGGAAAATTCTGAATTAACATATAATTTCTTGAAAAATCAAATTCATTATTTCAGTGTCTGCCTTTGGCATTTTCCAAACATTTCCAGGATGACCAGTGGGTAAAAATAGCAAATATAAATATATTTATATGCATATTTGAACAGAGGTCCTTTTTTCCATGGGCTTTGAGAAAATCCCCATCTTGTGTATGCTTAGTATATCTCTGTGTGATAATCCTTCGCATAAATACAGAGCCTTACCCGGAGACATACTTGGAAGACTTCTACCGCTCATCATGATCACGGTCCTGCTGTTGTCTGCCTTCGTGGCTGGAGGTAAGCCCTGCCATCCAGACGCCATATTTCCAATTCCCTGTTGGAACTAGGAGTTAATGCCCCTGCTCCCCTGAACTCATCCTGTGGTTATAAGAAAGGTGAAGTTCCAGGGAAGAGAAGCGAAGGGGGGCTGCCTCCTGGGATCCTTCCGGAAGGGGGCTTCCCAACCTGGGGCTTGGAGAGGTAGCAAGTGTAGGTCACATGGTGAGGAACATTGCCGCCTAGACTCACAACTCTTCCTCTTCCTACAGCTCTCAGCTGTGGGGTTCCCACTTACCAGCCCCACCTGCCCAGAGTGGTTGGGGGTGAAGATGTGAGACCCAACAGCTGGCCCTGGCAGGTGAGTCACCTACTCTTACCTTCTTACCTCACTTCCTATCTTACCAGCCTTCCCTCACCTGCCTCCACTCTGCACTGGCAAGAATGAGGGTTGGTGAGGACACCAAAGGAAAGAAGAGAAAGTTCACCAATAAAATTGATTTCCATGGTCTTGGGGCCAACCCAGCTTGCTAAGGAGCCAGCTCCCACCCCACCTTCATACATGTAAATTCACAGACTGTTATGCTATTGACCAATCAGAGCCTTGCCTACACATTTATGCTGCCTTATGAACCATTCATCACCATGAGTTCAAATGTCTGCGTGGCTCCAGAATGAACCAATCAAGGATATTTATGAAATTACTTTTTTTTTAACCCAGGTTCTCACACATGCAAGGCAAAATGTTCTACTGAACTGCACTCCTGGATCAAAATCAGTGTTTTTTGTTTGCTGGCTTGGGGGCTTTGGGGCCACATTTCCCAGTATGTAGGAGTCTGTGGAATGCCAGGAATCGAACCCTACTCTCCTGCTTACAAGCAATGCACTCGAGCCCTTTGAGCCATCTTCCCAGTCCTACAAATTAATTCTTAAGTAGAGGCAAATCAGTGTTACCAACTAAGGCAAACATTTCCTTAGGGGCTGGAGTGACAGCACAGTGGGTGGGGCGTTTGCCTTGCATGCGGCCGATCCGGGTTCGATTCCCAGCATCCCATAGGGTCCCCTGAGCACCGCCAGGAGTAATTCCTGAGTGCATGAGCCAGGAATAACCCCTGTGCAATGCTGGGTGTGACCCCCCCCCAAAAAAGAAAAACATTTCCTTACCTTGAAATAACCACATGATATCAAGATTAAAAGTGCTGGGTAGGCCATGGGCACAGTGAACCTGTTAGTGGTAGGATTTCCCAAAATTAAATATGTGAGACTAGCACTGACATAAATAATATAGTTAGATAGCTCTTATGCATCTTGATTGAAACTAATTAAAAAGCTCAGTGCCAGGACAGAGAGAGAGCGATCTTGCATTTAAGAGGCCTGGTTTCTATCCCCAGAACTGCCAGGAGTAACCCCTAAGCCTTGAGCCAAGAAGAGTAGTACCTGAGCACCCTAGGTATGGTCCTAAAAAGAAAGAAAAAAAAGTTGGTTGTAAAAAGACAGTCAGGTATAGAGCCCATGTCTTAAATGAAGTATAATGTCCTGAGGATATAGCTCTCAAGAATGGGAGAACCCCAACAAATCATGTTGAAGAAAAATGTTCAAATCTGATTTTTGAGTAGTGCTCTGAAGTTTTGGGATGTTTTGTTCATTGAGGGTTTTGGTGTTAAGGTTTGGTTTGGTTTTTTCTTTTGGTGGATTATTAGGCCACACCTGACAGTTCTCAGGAGTACTCCTGCTCTGTACTAAGGGGTCACCTCTGGTAGGGCTCAGGGGACTATACGGGGTGCTGGGGTTCCGAGTATGGTTGGTCAATTGCAAGGCAAGGGCCTTACCTCCTGCACTATTTCTCTAGCCTGTGTTAACATCTTTATCATCTTTATATTGTAGTAGCAGGCCAAATTATTGACACTTGGAGTTGGAGCGATAGTACAGTGGGGAGGGTGTTTGCCTTGCTTGCAGCTGATCTGGGTTCGATTCCCAGCATCCCATATGGTTCCCCCGAGCACCTCCAGGAGTAATTCCTGAGTGCAGAGCCAGGAGTAACCCCTGTGCATTGCCGGGTATGACCCAAAAAAGCAAAAAAAAAAAAAAAAAAACCCACCATATATTGACACTTGATTACTGTGCATTCGGTACTGGGGGGTAGGGGGTGGGGGACACTTTTGCCTTCTGAGCCCTGCCTTAAGGATGCTAAGGAGGCTGGGCTCTGCCAGTCTCCAGACCACCTGTCCTTTTTCCCAGGTGTCCCTGCAGTATGACAACAAAGGTCAGTGGCGCCACACCTGCGGAGGTTCCCTGGTGGCCAACAACTGGGTCCTGACAGCTGCCCACTGCATCAGGTAACTGAGTTTCTGGCCATGCAGACCTTCCCCTCCTGACCAGTGCTCAGCTCCAAGAACTGGAGTCCAAGTAGCCTAAGTCACCCTCTGTAAAGAAGCTTGCAAGTTAACCACTCGCCTGGCAAAGAAACCAGAGCTAGTGGATCTCTCACTGAGTCTGTTGGTTAATAGGTGGGTTATTACCTAACGCAAGTTGGATTGACCTGTGGCTCAATCCACTGAGGGAAGAGAGGGGAGCAGGAGAAGCTCCTGGTCTTCCCTTTAGGGCTCCCAGATGTGGTGTCCAGATTTGGAGCTGGGCTTCTCTTGAGTGAAACAAATTATTTCAAACCCACCTTCTCCACCCTCTGTAAAAATGCAGGTAGCGGAACTGAATGCAGATTAAATGAGATGAAGTATATCAGAGTGTGCACTTAGTAATGGAAGTGGACTGTTAGCCCTGAGACCCACAGAAAAGAAAAGCTTCTGGGACATTTTCGCCTCCCCCTCCTCTCCTCCTGCCTCTGCTGATCTTGCAGTGGTCTCTGGAGAGCACCTTGGGTGAGGGAGAATCTCGTTGCCAGGCAGTTCTCCATTCCCCAGCTAAGTTACAAGCTCTGTGAGGAGGAAGGGAAGATGTTAGAGGTGGGGGTGAGGAATCCCAGTTTTCAGTTCTGAATTCTCACTAGCAAGCTATAATGGCTAGTCGCACCTCTCTGAGCCTCGATTTTCCCATCTGATGTGAATATGAGAGGTGGGAGCTTAAAGTAGGAGATGCCCTTGAGAGGAAAACTGCTATTTTCTCTCTGTCCACTTCATGTTCACATCGCAATAGCATTTTTAGTGCTACACTTTCTAATTCTGCTTTTTGTTTATACATAGTGAAAATTATTATACAGTTAGCCCTCTCAGCACCATCAATAGTTTCTTGGAAACTGTAGCTGAAAGGATATATCATAAAATCAGGTCCTCGAATAATATCACTTTGACCCATATTGGCTAGTATTTTTTTTTTGTTTTCTCCTCAAGACTCTAACAAGGGCAGGGTTAGGGTGCATGCCTAATAAGTGCCTGGCTCAGGTTTGATTCCCAGCACTATGGAGGCCCCAGAACACAATGCGGTGGGTGGCCTGAAACTTCAGGCTGGCCCAGGTCCAGAACCGCAGGGCCCCAAAAGTACAGCAGTCTCAGGCCCTTGTACTGAACCACTGACCGGCTGACTATGAATCACCTCTGAGGTCTTCTGAACACTGCTTGGGAGCCCACAGTGCCAAAAAAAGGACTATGAAAAATATGACACAGAGCAAACTGACATTATCCAAGGACCTGCAATCCAGTTGTCAGTGATGGCGCTTGATTGGTTGCTTGAGTGATGGCACCAAGGAGGAGAAAGTCCCAAGTCCCAGCTAGTGGTTTACGTAGCAGCACTGTTATTCCCATGACCCTTCCTGGTACTGTCCAAAGCCAGGCTTCGGGAGATCGTGCCTTGGAGAGTCCTTGTCTGAAGGGAGGGGAGCTGGTGTTGGCCTGTCGCCCATCAGCTGGTTAATTGACGCCTCTGTCCTTGATTTCTATGCTCCAGCTACTCCAGAACCTACCGTGTGATGCTGGGACGGCACAGCCTGTCCACCGACGAGCCCGGCTCCATGGCCATCAGTGTCTCCAAACTCGTGGTGCACGAGAAGTGGAACTCCAACCAGCTCTCCCAAGGGTACCTGATGTCTGGGTGCACTTGGGGTGGTGTTAGCAGGGGTAGAAAGCAAGGGGTATCTCACAGAAGGTGATGGGCCCACCCTCAACTCCTCCTCATTCCTTCTGCAAGGAGGGGAAGGAACTGTGCCCTTTAGAAGTGGGACGTCCAAGGATGCTGGGGGGGGAGCGGAAGAGTGGGAACATCGGAGGAGGGACATGACATGTCAGAGCTGCTTGAGGCTCTACCAGTTAAGGGGCAGCCACTGCACACAGGGTGGTTCTGAAGTTCCCAGTACTGACACTGGAGCTGGACACAGACCCTCCTACCTTCCCCCAGTCTGAGCCCCCTCCTAGTTTGGACTTTTACATTTTCAAAAGTCCTTGATACTCCACAGGATAGCTGGGGGTGGGGTGAGGAGGGGCTTATACAGGAAGATGACAAGGGTCAATTTACTAGCTTAAAGCAGAAACCAGCAAGTATTATCATCGGTCAGGAATGATCCTGGTTATGATGAGGCTCAGAGGGGAGATTATAGCCCAGGGTTCCTCTGGAAGCTGCAAATAGATGGTGGCTAGGCGTCATCATCTGGAAGGCTTCCTCTTTCAAGAAGGACAGAAGTTGGGGGGAGGTGGCTCAATCCCCAGCACTGCATATGGTGCCCTGAGCACCGCCAGGAGTGATCCCTGAGCACAGAGCCAGGAGTAAGCCCTGAGCACCACCAGATGTGACCCAAATCCCCCGAAAGGGTAAATGTTCCCCTGTAAGGGCTTGGAGGAATTTAGGCTCTGAGCGCCATCAGGGGTAAAACACATTCTTGAAGTTTATCCCCAGTTGCTTCACTCCAACCCACTAGAGGGAGTATTGACTGCTAGCCGGGGCTGAAATTGCGGCAGGAAGTAGCACCCATCTTTATCATTTGACTCTTTACCACCCCAGAAACGACATTGCTCTGCTCAAACTGGCCAAGCCTGTCCCCCTGAGCGACAAGATTCAGCTGGCCTGCCTCCCAGCCGCCGGTTCCATTCTCCCCAACAACTACAGCTGCTTCGTCACTGGCTGGGGAAGGTTGCAGAGTACGTAGATACTGGGAGCCTTCCGGCTCAGAGGGGTGCGGTAGGGAGGTGCCCCCCATCCTGCCAGAGATTCTCTTCCCAACCCCTGAAAATGTCTCTTCTTGGCACAGCTCCTTTATCTTTCTGTCCCTAGAAGAAAACAGAAGCCACTGGTAGATGTCTACAGATAACTTTTCTGCCTGGGATTATTTTTTTAGTTCCAGTTTTCCAGGGGAAGGAGATGATTAGTCTAGCTCAAGTCAGATGCTTGACCTGAGCATCTGTGAGGACACAGTGCAGACAAATATGGCTGTTCCCATTGCAACCCTGGGGCTGACTAGCAATAAGAGGTATAGGAAAGGAAAGAAAGGCCACCAAACCCGTTGGTTCTTTTCTTCTCGGATAAAGTCCTTTGTCCCTACCCTGATTTCCTCTGCTCTCCTGCAGCCAACGGAGCAACTCCTGACATCATGCAGCAGGGTCAGCTGCTGGTCGTGGACTACGCTACCTGCTCCAGCCCTGGCTGGTGGGGCAGCACCGTGAAGACCAACATGATCTGCGCCGGGGGCGATGGCGTGATCTCCAGCTGCAATGTGAGTGCACAAAGTCAGGTGAACCCCCCACAACAGAAGGGGATGGAGCTGGGGAGATCCTTGGGGTCCTAGAGCCTGTCCCCCTACCTCCTGGCAGAAACACCAATAGTGCCATAAAGTTGAGACCTTGCACTTCCACCTCAGAGTGTCCAGAGGAGATGTCTTAAGATTCTCCTTGTGTCCACCTCTCACCCTGCTGAGCAGCCACGCCTTGGGTCTCGTGGAAGACTCTCATCTATTTTTTTTAACATTTTATAAATTTATTTATTGAGTCACCATGAAAGCAGTTACAAAGCTTTCAGGTTTAAGTCTCGGTCATACAATGATGAAACACACCTGTCCCTTCACCACTAAAAAGCCCAGTATACCCCCCCCATCCTACACCTTCCCCCTACCTGAGTGGCAGATGATTTCCACATTACTCTCTCTCTGCTTTGATTACATTCAATATTTTGACACCAGACCCACCATTATTATTTGGGATTTTACCCCAACACTCAGATCTGCCAAAAAGACAACATTAGACAATTTGTTTTCTAATTGCTGATTAATGGAGACGTTGCTGGCTCCCGCTCGAGCAAATCGACGAGTAACAGGATGTCAAGTGTCAAGTGGCATTGCTAATTATGAATGGCATATAATGTCGTGTGGCCGCAGTGGTGGCTGTGCGATTTTGGAATTCTGAAATTTTAATAACTAAATCTAGAGAGATTTCTGCCAAAAGCCGCTGGGTTCCAAGATTTGTTTCTGAGTCTCTGGGATCATGGCCATTAAGCAGCAGCTTGATCAGGAGCCAGAGAGGCCATTCGTGATGCCCTCATCTCTTATTCTCTCCTCTGTGAAGGGATCCATGAAAACAGTGTGGTCTCCGGGGCAGGGCCTTTCTAAGGAGACTTCGAATGCATCTGTTGACTGAATCTCACCATCCGCTCACTGTCCTTTCCTGCTTGCCACAGTCTTCCTGGAGACAAGGCCTTAACCCAAAGGCAGTGCAATGTGCCCGATGTTGTAGCAGGCTGGGGACAGAGCAGAAAAGAACTTCACACCTGCTTCAGGTCACACTGCACCCCAACATTCTGCCAAGGCAGGCTGCTCCCCTGGAAACTTTTTCCTGCTGGGAGGAAATGACGAGTGCTGGTGAAGGGAGTGACATTCCTAACTCTGGTCCTACTTCCCTGTCCTCCTGGACAACCTCAGGCACCTTACTACCCCTGAGGGCTCCCCCTCTCCTGAGAAATGGGGATGCTCATATCACTGACCATCCAGTTTTCTGTGAGGATAATGTGAGGCAAAGCATACAAAATGCTTCGCCCCAGTCCTGGCACACAGAAATAACAAGCGTTCCCTCTTGCTGACACCGTGGTATCATCTTGAATTGTGATGAGGGTTGGCCTCAGAGAACATGGTACACTATCAGCAGAGCCATATAAATAAGCTGCTAACACGTTAACCCCGAGGCACAAGCAGATGACCCTTCCCCAGGCTCCCAGGTTCCCCCTGACAGAACTCTCATCTTCCTCAGGGAGACTCTGGGGGACCCCTGAACTGCCAGTCTGCCAACGGAGTGTGGGAAGTGCACGGCGTGGTGAGCTTTGGGTCCTCCCTTGGCTGCAACTACTACCATAAGCCCTCCGTCTTTACACGTGTCTCCAACTACATTGACTGGATCAACACGGTAAGAACTGGGCAAACCTGGGCCTCTGGACTCAGTCCTGTCCCCACCAGGGCAGTTCCTACTACAGACATCTATGAACCCATTCCTCCTTCCTCAGAGCAAGGCAAGAGCCCCCTAATGCAACCCCAGCAGGCATCTTCCTGGGGGCTCCACAATTTCTGTGTGGGTCAAGTCAAGTGTCACAGCACAGAGGAGAGTCTTAAAGAGCTTGAAAACAGGATACTCCTCAGACAGGAAGGGTGGGTTCTGGCCCACTGTGAGGCTGAACGGGAAGGCACATACCTTGTGTGCATGTGATCTGGGTTTGACCCCCAGCACCAAACAAAGTGGGTTCCTTAGGATTTCTGGGGAGTATTTTTGCTTCTCTATGTGTCAGCTTAGACTCACTATCCAATGCTCAGAACAGTAATAAAATTTTTTTGGTGGGGAGGAGGGGTGGTCAGGGATCACTCCTGGTTCTGCACTCAGGGATCGCTCCTAATAGGGCTAAGGAGACTGTATGGGGTCTCAGGGATATCAAACCCCAGGTGACTGTGTGCAAGGCAAAGGTCCGACCTGCTGTGCTCTCTGGTCCCTACAGAGTCATATTTAACAGCAATGCTCAAAACCTGATCATTTGAGGTCACCACAATAGCTTTTCTTGTGGAAAATTAGTCTCCAAAGATTAATACTAATTCTCCCCTTGTTATTCTGTCAGGTGATCTACCATCTCAGTTTTACCAAAACTGGGAGATTGCCAGTGATATGGAAATTTTTGATGTACTTTTTGAAATTTTGTTGTTGTTGTTATTTTGGGGCATACCTGGCAATGTTCAGTGCTTACTTCTGGCTCTGAACTCCGTAATTACTCCTGGCAGTGCTCAAGGACCATATGGGATGCTGGGAACCGCACCCTGAAGTGCTCAGGGGCTACTCCTGACTCAGTGTTTAGGAGTCCTTCCTTACAGTGCTCAGCGGACCATGCAGTGCTAAGGATCCACGCCAGGACTCCTGCATGCAGAGAATGCACTCCAGTCCTTTGAGCCTGCTCCCCTACCCAGAACTTCCTATTTTAGACTAGACAAGAGGGACTGATCTGACCCACGTGTTTTGTGACTGTCTGCAGACCCTGTCTCCCAGGAGTTCTAAACCAGAACCTTATAAACTCCCATGCCAGCTCTCAATTCCTATTGTTCTTCAACCATCAACATATATTTTAAATAACTATAAAAATTACTTAATTTTGGGGGGAACCAGAGTGATAGGACAGCAGGGAGGCATTTGCCTTGCTTGCAGCTGACCTGGGTTCGATCCCCAGCATCCCATATGGTCCCTGAGCACCACCAGGAATAAGTCCTGAGGGCAAAGCCAGGAATAACCTGTGAGCATTTCTGGGTGTGACCCAAAAAGGACGAAAAAAATGATCTAATTAAAAAAAAAACTATACTTGTGGGAGGGCTGGAGCGACAGCACTGTGGGTAGGGCGTTTGCCTTGCACACGGCCGACCCAGGTTTGATTCCTCCGTCCCTCTTGGAGAGCCTGGCAAGCTACCAAGAGTATCCCGCCCGCAGGGCAGAGCCTGGCAAGCTCCCCATGGAGTATTCAATATGCCAAAAACAGTAACAACAAGTCTCACAATGGAGACGTTACTGGTGCCCACTCGAGCAAATCGATGAACAATGGGAAGACAGTGCTACAGTGCTACATACTTGTGGGTCTAGAGAGACAGTACAGTGTCTAAGATGCCTGCCTTTCGTGTGGTCAAGATGCTTCTATCCGCAGTACCACATAGGGTCCCCTAAGCCCACCAGGTCCCTGAGCATCATCGGATATGGCCCAAAAATAAAAACAAAAAGCCAAAATAAAAAACCAAAACATACTAACCTTGGAAGATGGCTCGAAGGACCGGCATGCATGTGGGAGCCCCAGGTTCAAACCCTGGTCCCTTGGCACCACACCAGGAACAGTCACGGGTATCATCTGAAGCAGGTGCTGGAGTTGTCACAAGAAAGTGGGAGGGAGGTCCAGGCTGGAGCGCATCTTTCACATGCAGGATCCCAGGGTTTGTCCCGGCCTCGCATGCTCCCCTGGGCACAGAGCTGGAGTAGCTCCCAAGCACTGACAGATGCAGCCCCAAAACCAAAAATAAAAAAGTGAAGGTGCATAAGGGTTCCTAGGAGGAAAGCAGAACTGGGAGCACTGAGACTGAGGACGAACGCCGAAAGAAGAGGGCCAATGGCTGAGGGTGCATTTTACCCACTTCCTGACAGCAGGTTGCTTCTCTGTGAAATGGGACTTGACCTAACTGGGACTCCTCCCCATTTTTTTGAAGTCAGAGCAAGTGGGAGTTTCAGTGTTTGTGGCAGGGCCTCCAGTGAAGGAAAGCTGGCATCTGATTGCTTTATTTTAAGTTTAATCAGAAAATAACTGCTCCATTGAATCAAAACAATGCTATAAAATCAAGTAGGAAGTCACAGCCATGAGCATGTGGCTGCAAAAGGAAAACCCTCTCATCAACGGCACTGTCAAAACAAGCAGGTGGCCACCTCCAAGTCCCCCTTAATATCTGCAGCGTTTTGCTCATTTTTCTGTCTGCTGGCATTTCCTTGCCAGTAAGTGGTCACAGACACCAGCGATCTCTGGAAAGTTTATTGGGGGGGAGGGGGGAGAGTGAAATTGAGAAGAACGTAGATTGTCTTTTTTCATTGGTAAACTGGGAGGATAATCCTGACTCCTCTCGGCAGAGCCCATCCAAGTCCAGCTTTTAAAAGGCCACCTGGGGTTGGAGCGATAGTACAGCAGGTAGGGCGTTTGCCTTGCATGCGGCCGACCTGGGTTCAATCCCCAGCATCCCATATGGTCCTCTGGGCCCCGCCAGGAGTAACTCGTGAGTGTAGAATCAGGAGTAACCACTGAGCATCGCTGGGTGTGACTCATCTTTGGGACTGGAGTGATAGTACAGTGGGTAGGGCTTTGGCCTTGCACACAACCAACACAGGTTTGATCCCTGGCATCCCATATGGTCCCCTGAACCCTGCTAGGTGTTACCCTTGAAAGCCCTGAGCACAACTGTTGTGCTGAAACACAAATGAAAGCCCTGAGCCCTCACACCGCCACCAAAAAAAAAAGTGCCACCAGCCTTTAAGGAAAATGCTTCAAGGCCTTTTCTCGGCTCTTCCAGGCTCTCTTCCAGTATCGGCTGCCATATCAGTCACCAGGCAGCTGGTCTGGGCAGCACCTTGTAGGCCCAAAGCCAGGACCAGGGGCAACTGTTCTGATTTTTCAGTCCCAGCATCAGCTGTTCCCAGCTCCAGTCACAAGTACAACAGTGCGGGCTATAGTCAAAAGCGTGTCCATATGTCGGTGGGAATCAACAGGGAAAGCAGGTCTTGGAGGCAGCTAGACAGAGTCCTACGCCCTGGGCTGGCTGGCAACAGTCCACCAGGCACATATGTCCAGGAGCAAGGTCCAGGAGTGGCAGGGCCAGATGACCAGCTGTCACCCTGCCCCGCCAGTGGCAACTGCAGAGGGGCTTAGTGAACCCTTGCGTGGTCCTGGGCCAGGGCACTTCACGTGGGAGCACCTGCCTGGACAAAGCCAGACAGATGACGAACCCAGCTCAGGACACTGCCCGACACCAAAGGGGGAGACAGGTGCACGGGGCTCACCCGCTCAGGGAACGTCCAGGGGATGACAGCGCCATTTAGCTCCCAGCTCAGTCTGCAAGTTTTGGAATTTCCAAAAAGTTTTTTTTCAAATATGGGAGTGGATCAAATGAAAAGACAGAAACCTCCCCCCTCATTTTTACACCTAAATCCAGCCCCCAAAACATAATCTCTAACCATCAGGACTTTGAAGTCTGCCGGACTTTGAATGCACATAGAATCAACATACACACATCAATATGCCTAGGTCTAGTCAAAAGTAGGGGTTTTTTTATTCTTCATACTGTTCTGCAACTTAGTTTTTTTCACTTCCAACCGTATCACATTTTATATCCCAGCTGAGTATCGATGTCACCCTTCAGGACGGCCGTCACTATTTCAGAACACAGCTGCAGTGAATGAAGCTTTTGTCCATTTTCCCATCTACCACACCCACTGCTGCAGTGAATGCCCTTGGACATTCATTCTTGCACGATGCTCTGAGACCAGGGATTCAGAAACCCAGCATTCTGGGGCCGGAGCCATAGTACAGCTAGTCGGGCATTTGCTAACCTGGGCTCAATCCCTGGCATCCCATATGCTTCCCCAAGCCCCCCAGGAATAATTCCTGAGTGCAAAGCCAGGAGTAACCCTGGGATATCGCCAGGTGTGGCCCAATACGAAACAAAAAGAAACCCAGCATTCTGAGGCTGATCATGGTGCTAGCACCTTAGAATGTCCACAAAAGGCTGTGAAACAGCTTCTGAAAACAGGTGTGAGCCTCAGTCTAGGGACAAAGGGGAACAGGGGCTGGTGAACAGCAGTGGCTGTGAACACATGGGGGGCTCCCCACCCCTGTAAGAAACAAATGACATCTAGAAACAGGCCCATCCATTCAGTTGGCGTATAAGATGTACACAGTCCCACCTTCACCCTGTGCCCTAACAACAGGACTCCGGGCTGAGCCCCTCCTTACGGGAAGCCCCTGCGGGTTAGTGCTTTACCCCGAGTGTCATTACAATGCCCCTGGGTGGGAGCTGCTTGGCAGAGGTGGCCTGGTCCTCTGTGAGCGGCAAGGACCTCAGCAGGAGGCAGCTGCCAACCAGGTCTGAAACTGATTCTCTTCTCCTGGGCATCCTGCAGGTCATTGCAAACAACTAAGAGAAGCACCGGTAACTGCTGCGGACGTGGAAGGGTCGCAGGAAGAAAAGAGCAATAATAAAGTGATAACCACAGAAATCGTATCTGGGCAAGAGTCTTCTTAACACCTCAACTGATGTCCAGGACCCTGACAGCACCCAATAGGCCAGGGATGAGGGTCCCTCTGGGGGCGCCCCACCTCTCCCTCCCCACAGCACCTCCACCTGCCGTGCCATTCTCCCGCTGGGAAGGCACCCAGGAGCACAGGCCAGACTCAGAGGACCCTAGTCAGTCCTGTCACCCCACTAGCTAACTGCTGTCCCTCCAGACAAGTGACTTAACCTCTCTGAGCACAGGTTCTACCCTGCAGGAGGGGGCCCAGGTGGAAGGGCAGGGTCTACACGGATTAAGATATGGGGAAATGTGTTCCAAAAAAAGCAAAAGTTGGTCTGGGTTTGATCTCCAACAGCATGGCAAAAAAAAATTTTTTTCCTTAATAAGGGAGAGCAAAGGTTAGAACCCAAAATGTAAGGAGAGCCCAGGCTCAAGAGAAATTGTAGTCACCTACAGTTTATTTTTAAAGAACATTGCAATACTTGGGGGCCCAGAGAAATGGTACTGAGGCTAAGGCGCTTGCCTTGCTTACAGTTGACCCCAGTTAGATCCCAGTACCATATATGGCCCCTGAGCACTGCCAGTAGTGATTCCTGAGCACAGAACTAGGAATAAGGCCTGAGCACCACTTGGGTATGTATATGTATGTTATACATATATGTATGTATGTATATATATATGTGTGTGTGTGTGTGTATGTTTACACACACACACACACACACACACACACACACACACTGGGAAAATGAGTTGTTTTTAAAACCTCACTAAAGACTCACAAATTCTAGTTATCCAGACACTTTGCTCCAAACATGCTCTTGAAGAGAGTAGTTGGTTTATCTGGAGCTAGATTTATCTAGAGAAACTTCGGTGGTTCTCCAATGGGGGACCCTGACTCCCAGGGGGAAAAGTGGAAGCATCCAAAGACATTTCAGTCATTATGACTCACATCAGTGCTATGGCATCCAGTGGGTAAAGATCCTATAAACACCCTATAAAGACCCTTTAAACCTGGCAGGCCAGCTGGCCAGAGCAAAGAGTGGCCCCAGAGTCCCCAGAGCTGAGGCTGAGACGCTCTGTGCTAGAGAACGCACAGGGGCCCCAGGACGCTCCATTCCTCTTCTTCCTCCACCACTGGGATGCCACTAAAGGCCTGTGGCAGCCCCATCAGGAACAAGCAGACCCTCCATGGGCTCTGAATCCGTCAAAGAGCAAAATGGCAGTTGTGGGGACGTCCTGCCTTCTGAGGCTAAAGCAGGAAGGTTTGGTGTGGAAGAAAGGCAGGTGTGTGGAGGGTCCTGGCCTCATCTCGTTTTAAAGAAAAGTTTTTTCCGGAGGAAATTAAAACAGCCAGGAATCTGTTTGCAAACCCCTTTCACCGACACAGCATCCGCGACCTGTGAAAAGAGAACGGGGGTGTCAGTGAGTCCTTCTGACTACAGGGAGATGTCCAGAGAGGAGCTGGCCTGGGGAGCAGTAAGACCAAAAAAGGGAAAAGCTCCAATCTCAGCCCCCCTTGAGGGGAAGAGTAAACAAAGCAGCATCTCGACTTCAGCCTTGGAAAGTTCTAATTTTCAGGGGCCGGAGCTTGCCTTGCACACAGAGAACCCAGGTTGGATCCCCAACATTCTAAAAGGTCCCCCAAAGCCCACCAGGAGTGATTCCTGAGCTCAGAGCCAGGAGCGAGCCCTGAGGATCACTAGGTATTACCCCAAAACAAACAACAACAAAGAAAATTCAAATTTCAAAATTCCCAAGTTCCCAAGATTCATGTTTGATGAAAAGGTTTTTGGAGAGAAGCTGAGAGTCGCCAGGATGCTGCTTAACCCTGAAGGGGACCCCTCAACCCCAAAGCACAGGGCCCCAGACAGTCGCTGAGGCTCACTTGCCCAGGAATGTGGCAGGTGGTGCCCCCTGGAGGTGTGCTATGTATGAGCACTTGCTTTCTGTTCCTTTCCCTCACTCTGCAGACCAGAGAGGCAGCAGCTCCGTAGAAAGGAGCAGGGCCAGTGCCCACAACCCCTTCCACGGCACTAAATAGCCGAATAGCGCCAGAAAGGCCCATGCAGAGCCCCCTGGAAGAGCATTAGCATCGCAGCAAGGGAGGGCAGGGCCCTCCAAGGTCTTCTTTCCGCTGCCCACCCAGGAAGAGGACATGCTAACAAGATTCTTGGTTCTTGAGGGTCCAGAATGGAAGACTAGGAGCAGGAGAGATAACACCAGGATAAGGCACTGGCACACAGCTAACTCTGGTTCAATCCCTGACACTCCACATAGTCCCCTGAGCATGATCCAGGAACACAGAGGCAAGAGCAAGCCCCGAGAACCATTAAATGTGATTCTCCCCAACCCCCACCAAAAAAATAAAATAAGAAAGTAAAAGACTACACAGGGGGGAGTGGGGCAGTGGGCAGAGCCAGGGCCTGCAGACTGTTTTCTGGGATGCCATCCTCTGGCCGTGGAGCCATCCCTACCCTGCTTCCACTGGCGTGTTTAGGGCCAGGTTAGGGAGCACCTGCCTGGGGACCTTAGGGAGTAGGACAGCAGCCCTCTGGGTCCTAGCCCAGGGATGCTGGTGACAGTCACATCTTGCCTTCAGTGAAGCAAAAGCACTGGCTACCCCGGGAGGCACAGACGCAGATAGGAGGTGTCTCACCCCTCATGCCTCTCTCCACCGTGGGTTCGGACCCGGTCCCCCAGCACCCCAGCCTGCAGAGGACACGCCAGGGCAGGGCAAGGAGTGCTCACCCGGAGCAGGAGGGTCTGCAGGTCTTCCTTAGACGCCCACTGCTCCAAAACGCTGTCCAGGGTCTCAATGTACCAGGACCCGCTCTTGGTGTCCCTCCAGGAGACGAAGCCTGGGGAAGGAGAAAGAGCGAACTGACCTAGGATGCCGCACGCAGCCCGGGTTGCAGCCCGACTCTGACCACTCATGCCCCACCCCCCAGAGGAAGCAGTCACTGCCCTATCCCACCCTTGACCTGACCCAGCACGCTCCACCTCCCAAGGGTGCTATCCTAAACAGGAAACTGAGGCCCAGAGAAGCCAAGTGACTGGCTCAAGAGAGGAAATGTGGGGTATGGGGCAGGATGGCTCAGAGGGTCAGGGAGCAGACCAAGCATGCAGGAGCCCAGGGTCCATCCCTGGCACCTCATGGCCCCCCACCATCAGCACTGCTGGCTGTGGGGTCCCTCGGGGAAAAAACAAGGAGGGAAATGAACACTGGTCATACCTGCCAGGCATCATGATGATGACCCCTCCTACCTGCTAACCCCTATGATGACCCTTCAGATAACTTCTCATTTTAAAGAAGGGAGAAGAATGTGGTGGGGCAGAGGGGGAAAATGGGGAGTGTAAAAATATGAGGGAGTGGGGGGCGGAGTGAAAATACAGTGGGGAAGACGTTTGCTTAGCACATGGCTGACCCAGGTTCGATTCCCAGCATCCCATATGGCTCCCTGAGCACCGCCAGGAGTACTTCCTGAGTGCAGAGCCAGGAGGAACCCCTGAGCATTGCCGAGTGTGGCCCAAAAAGCCTATATATATATATATATTTGCTCGAGTGGGCCCAGTAACATCTCCATTGGAGACTTTGTTGTTACTGTGTCTGGCATATATATATATATATATATATATAGAGAGAGAGAGAGAGAGAGAGAGAGAGAGAGAGAGAGAGATGAGGGATGGGGACAGCATGAAAGTCTGCATCCTGGGCGCCTTGTGCTTCTGAGGCTCAGAGAGGTGGGGTAAATTGCTCAGGGTCACACAGGAGGTGGGATGTGGAAGCCAGACTCCCACCCGGTACTTTGGCTCAGGGCACAGCAGCCCCTCGGTGGCCAGGAGGCGGAGCTTCCCCAGATACTCACCTGGGAAGGTGGAGTAGGACACAAAGATGTCGCTGGGCGTGGGCAAACTGGACACAGCGTCGGGCTGGTCGAAGGTCCCTGCGTCGTTCTGGAATGGGGCAGCATCAGCCTCAGGGTGACCACCAGGGGCTCTGTCTTCGGGGGACGTGGAATCCACATGGAATCCATAGTCTTTCTGCTCTGCAGGGAACAGAAACACACCCCACTGGCCACGGAGACTCACTGGCCAGAGCCCCTGCTCTGGCTGCTTGGGGGCTCCAACCTGTCCCCACACTGAGACAGACTGATTCCCACAGGAGTCAGGGCCCCATGCTGGACAAACAGGGGCAGCAAACAGAAACTTTCCTGTGATGAAAGTTTTATATATTCATTGAATAAAAATTGGTGGGGAGGAGGGGGGCTGGAGTGATAGCACAGCGGGTAGAGCGTTTGCCTTGTATATGGCCAACCCAGGTTCGATTCCCAGCATCCCATATGGCCTCCTGAGCACCGCCAGGAGTAATTCCTGAGTGCAGAGCCAGGAGTAATCCCCGTGCATTGCCGGGTGTGACTCAAAAATGCAAAAAAAATGGTGGGGGGGTGGGAGGGGGTGGCTATAGAGACCTTTAGAAAAAGATCTAGAAAGATCTACAAGAAGTAAGAATGGGCATTCGAACAAAACCATGTGCACACATCTCAAAGCATTATTCCCAAAAGGCAAAAGACAGACATGATCGAGTGTCCAGTCAGCGAATGGGTAAAAAGGATGCTGCACCTAGCAGAATATTAACCAGGCTCAGAAATCTACAAAGTACCAAGATGTAACAGCCTGGTGAGGTCTTGAAAACATGTTCAATGAGAGAAGCCAGACACCGGGGCTGGGCAGACAGAGCATGGAGTCTATACCTTACACATACAAGACCCCAAGTTCGACCCCCTGCAGCACTGCAGCCGGCCCTCAAGCACCACCAGGCCCGGCTCCAGTGGTCCCAAACCACTGAACCCTGAAACCACCTGGCCTGGGTAGATGACGATTGCCCAGGAGTGACCTCCAGGATGTCTGAGCTTGCATGGAAGTCCCTCCCAATCACCCCCCAAAAAAAAAATAGAAAGGAAAAAAGTCACCTGATAGAATTCTACTTATATAAGATAGTAGCCAAGAGAAAGAAATCCAAAGAAGAGAAAGTAGATGAGTTGTTGCCAGGGGCCAGGGGAAGGTGGGCAAGGAGAACAGCTGCTAGCGGACCTGGGGTTCTTTTCTGGCAGACAAAAAGGCTGTGGGGACCAGATCGCGGTAGAGGTTGTGCACAGTGGTGAGTGTATTGAGCGGTACTGAATCGCACCGACTGGAATGGTTCAAATGATCCAGCTTGCAGCTTCCGCCTGGCTCTCCTTCCCCAGACCCTCCCTCTCCAAACCCAGCGTCCACTGTTAAGAGTCCAGCGGAGCCCCTGCAGCCAGCTCAGCCCAGGGACCAGAACTGAGAGCTACTGGGGTGGCAAAACATGGCCAAGAGAATCCCCAACCTGGATCTGGACACAGGAACTGCCAAACCAAGCCCAGGCAGAACTCCTGCTTGTGGGATTCAATTCCTCCGGCTTCGAGCCTCTGGAAACCCATCTCTTCTCGAACCCGAAGCTACTCCAGGTGCTTGAGTCCTTCGCCTGGATTCTGCTCATCCCTCTCGACACTTGCTCATGCTTTGGGGGGTTTCTGTCAGAGCTTCCCTCACCTTCAGGGCTGGACCCTCATCACTCTCCCAAGCACTTGTTTACCAATTGGGAAACATCACCCCCCTGAGGCAATGGACCACCCAGGGCGGGGCAGAATGAGCCTTAGATTTCTAAGGGGGCATAGAGTGATTCTTTTCTGAAAAAGAGGTGACAGCTCCAGTCAGCCTGGGAACCTCTGCTTCCAGGTACCTTTGCCCTAAGCCCTTTATCTGTTGTTACCCCACATCACACCACGTCATAGGCTGTATCCTCCTCACACGAGCCCTCGTTCATATGAATGGCTAGGTCACGTCATGTGAGTTAGCCCTTCTCAGCCTTTTTCTGACCAGACATGGTCCCTTCTGAACTTGTTTCTTAACCACACAACTTGATAATTTTCTATTTATTTTTCAGTTTTAGGGCCACATCTAGCAGTGCTCTGCTCAGGGAATACTCCTGGAGGTGCTTGGAGGACCATGATGGGATGTCAGGGATTGAACCCAGGTCAGTGGCGTGCAAGGCAAGGGCCCCACTTGCTGTGCTGGCTTTCCGGCCCCAACTCAGAAACTTTAGAACTTAACTGTATTTGGAGACATGGCAATTAAAAGAGGAAGTGAAGTTAAACGAAGCAATGGAGTAGGCTCCGATCTAACAGGAAGGTGTCCTCACATGAAGGAACACAGACACTCAAAGAGGAGAGCTGATATGTAGACACAGGGAAGAAATGGTCATCTAGCCAAGGACAGAGCCCTCGGGACCCTGCTGGCACCCGATGTTGGACTCCAGCCCACAGAGCTGTGAAAGAAAAGATGTCTGTGGTCTAAACCCCAGCCCCACCCCATGCCACGCCACCCGGTCTTCAGTTCTTTGTCATGGCTGCTCCTGACAAAGCAAACGATACACTCACCAAGTGGCCAAGGTAACAACAGGGTCACTGGCTAGGTCACGTCATGTGAGTTAGCCCTTCTCAGCCTTTTTCTGATCAGACCTGGTCCCTTCTGAACCTGTTTCCTTCCTGTCCCCCGTCCCCAACCCCTTCCAACCAGCTAATCTCATGCCATATGCCCATACACACACCCATTGACTTGATTTTCACCTGTGGTGCCCCTGGAATATCTTGGGGGCCCACAGGGGGTCCAGATAACCACCAATTGAGAAACACCTGTTTTCACTGATTAGAAAGATTCTTCTGGCTTTAAAGGAGCAAAGGGCCAGGTGGGAGATGGTCTAGGGAGAAAGTAACAAAACAGGGAATTGTGGCCATTCATTCAGTGCTATCTGCAGTAGTCAGATGACGAACAGATGGCAGATAAAGGGGAAGGGGGAGCGTGTGTGTGAGCTGTGTATGAGCATGTGTAGAGTGTGTAAGTATATGTGTACGTGAGTGTGCTTGTGTAAATGTATGTGGGTGTGAGCGTGTGTGTAAGTGTATGTGTATGAGTATGAGTGTGTATGTGAGTGAGTGTTTGTGAGTGTGTGTGTGTGGGTGTGGGTGGGAGAGTGTGTGCGAGTGTAAGTGTGTGTGTCAGGGTGTGTATGTGAGTGTGTGTGTGGGTATGTGTGAGTGTGTGAGTATATGTGAGCCTGTGTGTTAGCGTGTGTGAGTGTGTGTGTGAGTGTGTATGTGAGTGTGTATGTGTGTTTGAGCATGTTTGTGTGTGTGCATGAACAGAGACAGAAATCTGGAAGGAAGCACAGAATGTTAACAGTAACCATCTCTGGGTCCCTAAGATGTTTTTTCAGGGGGCTGGAACCCAGGCTCTGCACACAGTAGTCCTGGGTTTGATCCCAGAGCATCACAATGGGAGCACGCCAGGTCCCCACCTGGTGAAGCTCCCCCAACATGAAAAAGAACAGGAATGGACAGAGAGTTTTCATGTTCTAGCCTTTCCACACCTCTGACGTCTTTGTTTTTCTCCATTGTTTTTCAATGAACATGACCTACTATCAGAGCTCCTGAGTTTCTCTGCCAATATTCTGTGAACACTGGCCCTTTTGTGATTGGATGCTCTGCAAGAGCTAATTCGCAGGATCTTCCCTATTGCATATTAAATATCAACATGGCTCAAAACAAACAAAACAAAGCCTAGCCACGTGTGCAGCACTCCGGAGACAGGCAGAACTCACAGATGGCAGACGGCTGTCTCCCTCCAGTCTTTCATTTTAATTTTTTATTTTGGGGCCACACCCAGTGATACTCAGGGCTCACTCAGGGATCACTCCTGGTGGTGCTCAGGGGAATAGATCGGGTGCCAGGAATGGAACCCAGGTCAGTCACATACAAGGCAAATGCCCTGCCCACTGTACTGTCTCTCCAACGATGACATAGTGCTACTGGGGCCCAGTGGTGTTGGAGGCCACCAGGAAAGGCCACCCCAGCAATGCTCAGGGTCATGTGGTATTGGGGATCCAACTCAGCTCCTTAGACATTCAAGGCCCCTGATCCTTGAGGTACTCGCCACCTCCAAGCCTTCTCTATGTTTTGATGGCGGTGATGGTGGTGGTCTGGGGGTCATAGTGCTCTAAGGCCACACCCAGTTTGGACCTTAGAAGTCATCCCTAGCAGAGCTCAGGAGATCATATGAGTCCTGCAGGACCTCATAGAGAGTCTGAACTTCTTTGCTTCTTTCCTCTCTATTTGGCTCAACTATAACACCAGCGTTTCTCTGGGGTATCTCAAATCCTTTTAGAGAATCCAAGAAGGTGTCAAGTCATAGATAACGAGATCCAGGGGGGACAGTAACTCCTCCTGACCCAGGCATATGCAAGAGGAGCAGAGACCCCTCTGTTAAAAATGGCTATGGCCCTGGATCTCTTAGATGGCTCTCTCCCGGGGGTCCCATCAATGAAATGGGTCAGTAGGTCAGTGCCCTCTCATCCACACAGAACATGAGTGGCCACTGGGTACCAGAGATGATGAAGACTCAAGTGTGTGGCCATGTGTTACAAGGGAGAGGCAGACTATCTCTACACACAGGGAAAAGGTGAAACGGAGACAGTGCAGGAGGTTACAGCTCACCCAGGGCAGCTGGGTCCCCTCTGCAGGGGACGGAGATCTATGACAGCCCCAAACCCTAGTGACTACTCAGCCCGCTCAGCCCATGCTCAGCAACGTGAAGACTGGCCCATGCTCTCAGTGCTCATGTGCGAGGCCAACCAGCAGCCCCACATCTTTGCCTCCCCACGCCATGCTGAGGCGCCCGGCCGGGAGAGGAGGTAACTCGGATCCTGGGGCACTGAACTGTGTCCTGGGACCCCACTCCCATCATCTCTTGGTCCAGATTCGGGAATCTGCACCAGGTGTGTGGGAATGGCACCGGGGCTGGGGGGAATGTGAGGATGTGGGGATGCTGCCAGGTGGGCCAGGGAAACCAAGCAGGAGAGAGAGGAGCATGGTGCAGGTGCGGGGTGCCCTAGGCGGGGCTGGTGGGAACCCAGGGAGGGACAGTGGGGACAAGAGAAAGTGCAGGTCAGATGGAAGGTCATGGC